CATGGCTGTGTGATTTCTAAATAACTAGTTAAAGTGAAATCGTCTCTTGGATACAAAGGAAATAACAGCATGATTATTTAGAAAGAAAAAATCTTGTAAAGGTGGTAGGAAAGGTAAAATAGAATGTTTTCAATAGATTTAGTGTGGAGCCCAATTTTTTTTTCCTGTAACATAATTAAACCAGAATAACATGAGAGTGCATATTACCTGTAGTTATATTGTTCCAGCCAAATTGCAGCCAAAATCCAAATATCATAGCAAAGAGATAGTCACCCCACTGAATTCCAATTGATTTCATTTCACTCTTTCAGGAATTGTAGATTATTATCACTGTCATTCGATCAGTAACACTATTAAGGCAAGAATTTTGCAACTTGTAATAATATCAGTTTAACACAGAATTTCACAGCATGACCTCTCTCATGAACAGTGGATTACATGAATATGCCATCTTTAACAGAGTTGCATCACACTGTTCACTCATTGCCATTGTATATGTTATATCCTGGAATTTAAATTAAAAAATTGATAACTCACTGGAGACAAGTGAATAATTAAGTTAGCTATTTGTGGAAAATGTGTAATTAGAGAAATGAGAAAGGTGCAGTCTGGTCTAGGAATACACTTTAGAGAGGTGAAAGTTAGCAGAAGGTGTCCAAAGCATAACTCCCATGACACACTGTGGTGGCATTTCCAAACTGCAATGTTTGCCTTCTCAGGCAAAAGAATTCTAGCAAAAATGAATGGAAAGTGACAGTAGGAGGAAAAATTTTTCTCTTTTATGTCCTAAGGGAACATTTTAAATGGCCTTATTTATGCAAAATCATTCTTCCTGATTTCCTAAACAATTTTCAAATACAGATGCATGTATAAGTATATGCATGAGCATAATGTTCACAACCTGAGTAGCTTTAGCTGTGTTGTGTAGTTGTATACATACTACATTTGCTTTATTAATAGCAAGGCAGAATCTTTTTATTGTCATGAGAAAAGTTAGGAATTTCAAAGTCCTGAAAATCTAATGCCTAATCTATGGGAGGAAAACAAAAAAAGTATTTAAAGGAAGAAATGATACTTCAGATCTGTTGAGATGACACTTAAAAAATCTTTGAGAATTATAATCCCCTGAAACATAACTACCATTTCAATGTGAGAGCTTCAAGAAAAGAAGCCTTGCCAAGCACATAGTGCTCCTATGTCGAGTCTCTACATGATGACAGTTTCACAGTTTCTGACTCCTGAACTTTAAAACATACAAAAATACCTCTGCAGCCATTAGGTATTTGAGAGGCTTCTGCTGACATGCAGCTCCTTGCAAAATGTGATATAGATTCACTGCATGCTAAGAAATATCACTGATGCATAAAGCAAGGTGGTATTTATGCTTTTCCTAAAACAGATCATTCTTGCACATTATACAGTTGCCTCCTCAGGATTTCCCTTAAAGGCACAACCTCTGGAAATTTTATAAACTGAAAGAGGCTGAGTGACTGAAGGAGATCAGATTTGAAGTACTGCAGTTGCCTATCATTTTTCTTAGGACTGGCTGAATATGTTAAGGATTGAGCTCCCCTTACTTTTAAGCTGCTTCTGTTCTCCCCTGCAGCACAACTGGTCCCTGGGATCCAACTAGGCATTTTCAGAAGGTAAACATAGCATCAATGCCTGAAAGTCACTCTCCTAACCAAACAGAACCGAAACCCCAGATATATAGTTTGAGCTCTAAGAAACCAAGGACTCACAGTGCCTTGGAAATTCAGCTACAGTGTGTGACTATGGTTTACACTTTAAATATGTTTTGCATACCCTTTCCTGTCTGTCCTAGTGCTTGCTGACTCTTGTTGTTCCTCAAGCAGACATGATCGAAATGAACTTGGCTCACCGAAGTCTCCTTGCCACCATATTAACCCAAACTGTTCATAGTCGATGTAGGTGTAAAATAGCTTAAATCGTCAGAACTAAATTCAAATTTGACACAGTGAGTCAATATCTTGAGCTACAGTTTGATGTTTTAAACTTCTTGCTGACCCCTTCCAAGACAATTCCTCTCGCAGGTGCCAAACTTACCTACAGCAAGGTCTCTCTACAAAATAATTCTGTGGAAAATTCTCAGACAAGATGAATATATATCTAACAACAAGTCTTCAGCAGTTTGTCTTTCAGCAGCATCAGCCTTCCATTCATTCACACTGTGTTTATTTCTGGTCTCAAGCTACAAGCCTTGGCCAAATGGAGAAATCAACTGTTCTGTATTATAGTCTCTAGCACCTGCTACTGACGGATTATCAGGGAAGTTTCTGTTTTCTTTCTGTTTTGTGATTACAGCTTTTGTGCTTAGTGTCATCCATACATCAGTTTTGTGTTCCAATGACCAAGTAAATGGAGGTTCCTATGTCTGTTCCTTCATGGACTGGCCATTTGCACGAGTGTTTCATTATCTTCAGTTGTGAAGGGAGCTGAGGTATGGGCCTGGACAGGCTGTTTAAACCACATGTTGAAGGCAAGTAAAGACAGAATGAGACACTGACAGCCACCAACGAAGATCAGTATATGATTTCTCCAGCTTGAGAACTACTAAAAAATGAAAAAAAAAAGAGAAAGAAACAGAAAGAGATCTGAGATTTAAATGTATTTTTCTTTTTTTCCTTATTAAATTTTATCTGGATTATGTTCCTCTGCAAGATAAATCCTTCCCATGAAGAAAAATGTGATGTGAAGATGCCTTGGGAAAAGTCCAGATGATTTCAGGAATGCACTGTAAAAATGGTTAAAAATGCCTAACATGTATGTGGAAGATAGCATAAGTGCAGGGAGTAGATGGAGAAAAGTAAATAATGGAGTAACTGGGGAAAAGAAATAAGTTCCATTCTTCTGAGAAAAAAAAAATAATTCCTCAACGGTCTGAGTTCAGTCATGCCTGCACTTGACGATAATATGTCAAGAACTTTCAAGATGATGAAAAAGCAAAGATTTTGGACACTAAAGTTTTTGCTTTGTCATTTTCTAGGAAAAGAGTAAAAACAGAGCAATGATAAAAACCATACCATACATTCATCCACTTGGAATCAGTAATAACTGGAATCTCAGAATTAAAAAGGAAAGAAAAAAAAAAAAAAAAAAGAAAGAAAAAACCACAACGATTAGGTGATCACAGATTTTAATGGCAGGAAAATTGGCAATTACTGTCTTCCTGAGTAAAAAATATCCCATCCCATCACTCATAAATTCCAGTTACATAAGGATATGGGCAATTACACTATTGAAGAAATCTGTGACAGAGAGAAGGCACTAGAAAATATCTATGAAATATGATTCTCATTCATAGAGCTTTCTGAACTGCAGAACACCCACAGAGCAAAATCAGCTGCAGATTGGTCTTTCCACATCATGGAAATAATAGAAAATAGGTCTAGAGGGGAGTGTGAGTGGCCAGCTAATCTAACATCTGTGCTAAAGTAGATGAGCTATAGCTAAAACTTTCTGACAAGACTAGCAGAGCCTGTACAGTGTGATTTTTTAAAATCGCTTAAAATCTGCTTAATAAAGCAGAAAGATGTATTCCCAAGAGAATGCAAAAACCTGTGTTCTCAAGTCACATCTAAATCATAGCCCTGTACTAAATGGTAGTTACTGTTTATATTTATTTGAGCATGAAACAAAAGAAGTTCCAAACTTAATTTTTGCTCTGCTGAAAATGGTGATTCACAGAGGAAGCAGATGAGTTAATTAAACTTTTCTCACTATGTGCTTTCTGTGGCAGGATTTTGATAATTTTGTGTGTTTTTTCTTTCTGTGACATCTATTTCAGTTTTTCATATACGAACACAGATCTCATCACTGCCATCACTCACATTTGCTCTTTTTTCTTTTTCTTTTTTTTTTTTTTTTTTTTTTCTCCCCCCCCTAAAGGAAACTTTCTGCAGTGGAGACGACAGCAGAACCCAGTATTCAGCAAGTGTGTTCCTGCTATATGTGGCATGTGCATCAGCCCCAGAATGCATTCACTGAGAGCAACATGTTCCACATTGTAAATATGTGCATCCAACAGATGGAACATTTGTCCGGATCTGAGAAAAATCACACTAAAAGCACTGTAGTGATGGATGCTGACGCCAGTCTTCAGTTTCACACAGATACATATTAATGATTACCTTGCCCTGCCCCTCTATTTCAGATTATTTTCACCTTCTATTATCATTATTGCTATTAATTATATTATTATTAATAATATTATATGTCGGATACCCAGAAGGAGAGCCTGTTCCGTATTTTGGCCGTCCTGCGGTACAGGACACTCAGCGCAGGGCGGGCAACGCGGGCTCCCGCGGCTCCACTCTCCTGGCTCAGGGCAGCACCGCGGACTCCCCGCAGCCGCGCAGCTCGGGCCGCTCCTCCACGCGTCCCTATCAGCCGGGTCCGTATGAGTTTGGCAGGGAAGAAAAATATTAAAAAAAAAAAAAATCCTACCAGGAAGAAAGGTGAAACCGAGCACTGCTCGCACTCCTGCCCCGCTGCTTCCCTCCCCCTCCACTGCCACCAGCTGCCCAAGCAACTACTTAAATACATACATATGTATGCATTTATATACAATATATATGTATATACATAAAATAGGGCTCTTGAGACTAGCAGAGCGTCGACTTCGGGCTCTGGGAGCCGCGCTGCCCGCCCCCGTGCGAGCTCCGCGCACCCTCCATCCCCCCCCAACTCCTCCCCCCAATTCGTCCACGGGGCTCCGCGCACCCCTAGACCCCTCCACCGGGGCTCCGCGTGCGTCAAGCGGCGAGTGGCGTCAGCGCCCCTGGGCGCGGAGCAGCGGCGGGGCGGCCGCGGCACGAGGAGGAGGAGGAGGAGGAGGAAGAGGGAGGGCGCTTCCTCGGGAGGCGCTGGCAGCGCTGCCGTGACATCACCCCACGGCTTATATAGTTGGGGAAGGGTCTGGGCGCCCCACATGGTCCCGTAGCCGTCCGCGGGGAGCGGCACAGAGATTCCGTGTCTCTCTCTTTCTCTCTCTCTCTCTCTCTCTCTGTGTCTATCTGTCTGTCTCTCCCTAGGATTTATGGACTTGCCCTGCTAGTGGCACAGCACGATGAGAGCCCAGCTGGTGTGCATGGCACTGCTGGCCCTGGCCGCCGGCAGCCTCTGCTCAGGTAGGTCCTTGTGTGTTGACTCCTCTCCTGCCCCTCCTGCTTCTTCCACCTCTGCTCTCTTTCGGGACAAGTTCAGGAGGAGCAACTCAGGTGCTTCTGTTCCCTTGGAACAGGGCTGGCGGCTACATCCCACAGCTGCATCCTGGAGGTGCCCAGCAGCCACCTCTGCTAACAGGGTTTGGCCAGCAGCATGCTCACTGTTGCTGCCGTGACTTTCCTGCTGTCATATTCACCTTTCCTTCAGAGAGCATGAAAGAGAACATCAATAGCATGCTTATTGCTGTAGGCTGTTCATAGATAAACAGGTATAGACCCCTTGCTTAAATGTGCACAGTGGTACCTCATCTGTGATTTACTGAGCATTACCTAATTCCAAACTGCCGTAAAAATTACAGTTTCTACAACCCTTGCCATAATACAGATCAGCATGATTATATGTCGACTTCTTCAGGGTTACACTGGACCCTATTAGTTAGCTGAAATACAGTTAAGAAATCTGGAAAGAATTGCTGACTGTTTTGAAGAGATGAGCAAAAAATGACAAACTAGATGCAGATCATGCAATAGAAAGTGTGTTTCTATTCCAACAAAAATTGTTTTAGAAACTTGAAAAAGAGAATGATGTACTAAAATATGATGCTTTATCTTTCGGAAAATGACACAGCCAAGTTTAGGGGGGTGTGTGAGTGTGTATGTGTCTTCAGGTTTATATCACAAAGAAAGTGGTAATTCAATGTCTTTGTACACATACAGAAAAAGAACAAGTGTCACAGAAACAAAGATTTTGAAAGATAGGTTTCAAAACCCAGCCTTATTAACTTGTGGTTTACTTTTGCTTTTACCTCCACAAAATTTAGAGGAGTCACAAGTTCATAATTCTTCTTTTAGATGAAAGTTTCTGGTGTGTATTCAGCAGAAGAAAACCATAGCGCATATAATACCTGTAGTTTATATTCATCACATTCAAATATAATTATTCTGCATGACAATTCTTAATATTTATCATTCTCTCCTCATGTATCTAGAGCTTTTTTAAGTGAAGACATGATTAGTATTTTCAATGAAGAATATTCAACTCTGCTGTTTGTAGAGCCTTACTGAAAACCCATTCAAGCTAAAGATATTAAAGGCAATCAAAATAGGCTCCTAAAAAAGAAACAAGATTGTGTGTAAAATTGACATGGTTTCATTTGCTTGAAAAATACCATTGGAAGGGATAAGTTCATCTCAATTAATATGGGAAATTTTGTTATCAAGAAAACAATCATTCAGTCTAATTTTCCTTTGAAAATGTTTGTCCTTGGGGGAAGTGTGTTCTTATGGAATTTAACTATTCTTGTAGATCGCAAATATATGAATAGAAACAGTATTGTCAATCAGGAGTGAATGATCAAGATGACAGCAAAGTGACTGGATTTTCTGCCAATATGAACAATAATATATAATCTGACTTTTTGCTTGTGGAGTCTGTTCTTTCTATGCTTTTACCTCCTCTTTCATTCCTATTTTATCTGCATGTGCTCCCTTCCGAATAGACACCCAAGCTTCACTCAGGAAATCTAGAACAGTTTCCTAAGCAATGGTCTGCAGGCTGCTTAATCAAGACATTTCTTAATCCCTATTCAACATAGGGTTGTGTTTCCACAGCTATCTTCCATCACCTATGTCATTTAAAAACCTAGGTGCTAACCAGAAGCATGTCTTTTATTGTTGCCAGCTGATAAAACCCCAAAGCAGGATGCCATCCACATGGGATGCTCCCGTATTCACAGCAGATGCTGCTGTCTCTGGTGGAAATTAGGCTGAGCAGAACTCGAACTAATAATGGTGAAGTAGTTGAAAAGAGGTAGCACTGACTACAAGTAGTGCTGAAATGGAACACATTAAGCAAGAGAGAAGTAACTAGTGGCTATCTAATATTTTTGAGAGAAACCTTGACTGGAAAAGTAAGAGTGAGCAGTTGTAGCATGCTAATAACACAAAGAGGAACATGAGCCTCTCTACTGAGGAAGGTTATCACAACACATGGATGTTTCTACTGACTGCAATAATGAAATAGGAAAAAGCACAACAGGACAAATTGCAGCAGCCTGGGAGATGAATTCCCTTTAAAAGAAGCTGGAGGTGTTTGAGGAGATAGAGGACTTAGACATACTTATGAGGACTTCATCATTCTTATTATGAGAGCCTTACTATGAGAGACTAAGATTTTTCAGACATAAAAGCCAAGTTGGATCCTGAAATGTGCCAGAGATCTATTTGCTAATGGTAAGCATTAGGCATTAAGGTTATTCAGATTACATGGGGCACTGTGGAAGGCCATTCTGAGGTCTTGGGGAACAGCTTGTCTGTTATATGAGAGGAGACTGGGTGAGAATCTAATAACTCTGGACATAACTTTGCAGTGATATATGCGGTTTCCAGGGGAATGTCTTATTCCCAAAAGCTTAGGGTAAAAGCACGGTGGCGTTGTATTTATTTCATAACCACTATATGAATAAACTCTAAAAATCTAAACTGGGAGTAGCTATGATTGCTTTCAAAGAATACATGAGTTCGTTAAAAACTAGAAATAGAGAAGTAGCAAGAATAATGAAGGAGATGATATGCTAGCCACAAACAATTTTATAATTAGAATGAAATTAGTCTTGAAATGAGAAAATGGTGAATAAGCACAGATGATTTTCAGGAATTCCCCAAAGAAATGCGAGAGGAAAAAATAGTTTTAATTATTACATGGAACACAATCTTTTTTTTTTTTTTTTTTTTATTTCTTTAAAATGTTGTAATGATTGGTTTTTCATGCTATCAGAAATCAAGGACTTAGAAAAAGTGCCTTTCAGTCCTATGTTCTTGTGGAAGCTAATAATGATGACGACTCTTCAAATTAAGGAATAGGCAGATTCTCAACACAGATATTCTGTGGATTCTGCTTAATAATAACACAGATCATTTTCATGAAGCAGAGTTTGACTTTTATTAGCATGAGATAGATGTTACTTCAGTTTTGTTTTTAAATATAGGTATATGGTTTGAGTCTCGGCTGCCAGTATTCTGGGAAAGATAAAGACCAAACAGAACCTTGTTTCAGCAAAAAGTTTAACTGAATTTGATATATATATAGCTCATCTTTGAGATGTGATTGTGTTACATTTTCAAACAAACAGCTCTTCCTTGTGCTTATATAGAAAGCAGAAATGTTTTTGACTGTTTTCTGTTTCAAGAGTTACATGTACTTTACTCATCAAACCACAGGTCTTCCAAATACACTGAGCTATTAAAAATCAATTAAATTAGTAAATAAAATCCTAATAATTTCCTTTCATTTAGAATACTTTATTTTTGTGTACACATTGCTTGTATGACAAATTTTGGTTTATCTGAAACCCCTCATCAGTAAAATTATTCTTTATTTATCCAAGAATAATTTAAAATAAATGTTGTCAAGTGCTCAAAACTACTATTAACCTAATTTCTGAGCTGCTACTTAAAGGATATTATTTAAAAATAAATATTTAAAGTCTTCCAAAGGTAACAAAGGTGACAAATAGTCATGTTTTCATTTTGAATGGCAAAGCTCAGAACTTTTGTTTTAATCAAATGACTGCAGATTTGTGGGCATTTCTAGCAGTGTATTGAAATTACTGAATCTTTCTATTCACAGCAATGTGTTTTATCAAGGTTTAAAAGGCAGAGAGTTTCTATTTTAAAATAATATTTTAATTTTATACTGCAATTACCTGAAAAGTCTTCATGGTCAGTCTCTTTAGATCACATTGTGATGCTTCTATCTTTCATTGGTTTCAAAATTGATTAATGTGCCTAACTTCAAATGTCTGTGATCTATGATAAAATAATAAACATATGTTTCTGATTTATTCCCAGATTCAGAAGAGGAAATGAAAGCATTAGAAGCAGATTTATTGACCAATATGTATACATCAAAGGTAATATTTTTTCCTTCTTTACCTGACAGGCAGAGAGCAAATAAATTCTCATTACAAACCTAGAATTCTCTGCACAAAGTAATAACCTGTGGTCCAGACCTAAATGTTCAATAATTGCCATTGCCTTCATACAAAATTTTCTTCTAATTCAAAGGAAATTTAAAGGTGTTGATATGACACACAAAAAGTGTCCCTCACTCATAATACCAGAACTTCATTAAACTGTCAAAACTGTATTATGTACAGAGATGTAAAGTTATATGAGGAAATGTGCTTCCAAAAGGATTATGTCTGATGAAAGTAAAATTCACCTTGAGTCAAATCTATAAGTGAAATTTTTATGCAGAACCTTTTCGATATACATATAAAATTAATCATAAAACAAAAGCTGTTACTACATATGCTAGTTTTGGTTTAGGAATTTCTTCATAGAGTTAGTAAAAGAACACGGAGACATGACTATGAATCTATAAATCACATTTCCTTGACAAGAGGCCAAATTATCAGCATGTACTTGTTTTTTATTACAAATAGATAAAAGTTTTTTTCCAAGCTCATATTCATGTAGGTGAAGCAGCAAGTGTTGAACATATGTATTAGATGGGCTGTCAGAGAAACAGTTTCTCAATGCTTCTGTTTCCATAAATGAAGTAAGAAATATATGCTTGTCTAATCTTTCTTCAGCAGTATGTTCCTTAATAGCACATTAAAAATAAATCCTGAAACAAGTTTCAAGGGCTTAATGCTTTAATTATTTGTTCCAGTTATTCAGATATTGCTTAATGTCAATGGAAAATGCAATTATATTTTCGTGACGCTTAAAAAGAAAAAAGATCATAAGTCAACGGCTAGATGATGGTAAAGGATAAAGCCTGCCTGGGAGGCACCTATATTTTCAGTATTTGCTTATATGTAAACATTCTTGCAGCATCCTTTGAACAGCCTAGAATAAGAAATAGTTCTGGAAGAGATAATATTTTGATCTTATGTGGTAGTTTTTAGGTTCTCATGGTCTTTATTTGCATGACCTTAGATGCCAAACCAACCTGTTTGCCTGGTTGTTTGACAAGCAGCTTGTTTCTCTAATGAAGAAGAAATTTAACAAAGATTCTTTTCCAGAGATAAATGTAAATACAGGGGGCTGACAAAATCAGTTCTTCCTTTGAGTGTCAAAGCTTAATATGCCCTGGGGGAAAACCCTGGAGCTATTGTTATTTTTGCTACTGACTTCAGTAGAATTGTGACTCCAGCTCCTACTTCTTGCATTTCTTTTCTGTCAGCACACAGCACAGTCTCTAAGCGATTTCATACCAGATGATAGCTAAGAATGCACAATAGAGTGCTGCAATTGACAATGTAAAGGTGTTTGCCATCTACTATTACATGTTGTGTTTCTTCAGGTGATAAGCAATTTGACCTCCTAATGCTATTCATGATGAGTTGTGACCCCTGAAGTTCATAGAAGCAGTGGGTAGAGAGTAGAGATATCATTGTTTAATTTTGGGTGAAAATTTCCATTTAAAATTAAATATATATATTTATATATATAATATATATATAAAAATAAATAATGTTTTTAATACCAAAGTAAGGCATAGTGGATCGGTGAGTATAATCAATGTAGGTAGAGTGTATAATACTGTGCCTACAAGGATGTACCACTCTCCCATTCATTACTGAAATGACAAATTCCTTTTTTTTTTTTCTGTTTCCATTTGCTAGTTTGTAGTCTTAGTTAGAACAAAACTATTTTTCTGCTAACCTCATAGAGATGTACTGAAAGTGTGAGAGTCAAATTTAGGAATGCTACACATCATAAACAGATTGTTGTGTGCCTGAGATCTGGTTCCAGCTGAGGACAATCACTGTTAAGCTGCATTCATTGTCTTTGGCATGGGCTTGGTGATAAACATCATGGAAGATCCAGCCAACTTAGATGAACCTTTTGGTTTGCAACTCTAAGATGAGGGAATAAAACAAACAAACAAACAAACATGGTTATGAAAACCCAGATTTAAAAATGAAGGAAAGTGGGTTATCACTTCTGGTTCCTAGCATGTGCATGAAACTTCTTCATGAGTGGGCACCTGTGAAATGTAGTATCAAGACTATAGCAGGTGTTCTAAATTAAGTACTCATCTTTTGCAGCATTCACGAGTCTCCTCAATATTATGGAAAGAGTTACCGTATAGATGCTTATCACTTCACAGATGGTGATAGCCTTTTAAAAATTACTCTTTGGAGTCATTTATGTGCTGAAACCCTCTGTAAAGAAGTCTGTCCATGCTTACTGTGATATCTTCAGCATTTAATACAGTTTATCACTCTTTCCTTCTCTTACATAACGAAGAAGATAAAAGGATCAAATACATCCTTAAAATCCTTTATTTGCCTTTCCTCTGAGATAAAATTGAAGAGTTGCTTGGAAGATCTGTGTCTCAAATGCACAGATAGATATATGTTATCTCCCTCTTTTGCATCAAATAACTAGCTCTATTCCCAGAATGCTCTGCTGAATTCTAACAAGCCTGAGTTAATATTAGCTTAAAGAAAAAGGAGTAGAGGAAGAGAAAGATTTTTTTTTTTATTTGAAGGAAGTCATCAAAGAATATACTCTGCCTTTGAGATCCCCATTCTCACATTAAATTATTCTGATATCTTGGAACCTCTCAGTTTCTTGCTGTTCCAGGATGCCTATTCCTGGCTGGATATGCCAAGTCCACCTTGTCAGACTAGGTTATTAGCTATATAGTAGCTCCTGGCTTCCTGAGTCAGTATACAAATTCGTTAAATTTACAGACATGAGGATATACCACAGGAGAACGTAATGCTGTAATTCTATACTGTATCTACCTAAATATACAGAGTATATTATTATTACTTTTATTGTCACAGTCTTTGCAAACTAGGATTCTGAAAAGGAATCACATATATAAAGCACATATGTAAGAAGCACATATGTAAAGGCATGCTGACCTGATAGTTCATGCTACTGAATATTACCTATATACCCCAAAATACTACTGTTACTTGAGCACCCTCCATGCTGTGTTACCCATCCTGTTCTATGTAAACAAATTCGTGAAACAAAACTGATTAAAGGCAGTGCCCTAGAAAAGGCATCATAAAAAGCTTTCTTTTTTTTTTTCTACATTATAATATGTCTAGTATTATCTAGAGCAAAGTCAGAGTGTTTTACCTATTGCTTAGTTACCTTGAATTTCACTTGATTATGAATCTAGGATCCATTTCTTTTGCAACATTAAGATAAAAATTTCAGAAAAAGAAATTTGTTTTTCTAAAAAAAAACATTTGGAAAGTATTAATTTTGGCATTTCTAAAACATCCTCAAAAGTTGTAACTTGGGATTTTCTTTAGTGCTTCATCGGTCAAATCTATTGTCAAAGAAGGAAATGTTATTTTCCGGGTCATTTCAATTTTTTGTCCAGTATAAATTATCTTTCAAAATATATTAAAAAAAAGAAGCGATGTTTCATTCAAGAGAATGTTCATGAGTGGAAATGTGTATGTGATATTCACATCGTGAATTCTTCAATATTAATAATTTTTTAAAGTTGAGATTCATAAGGCAATTTCTTTTGTTCCATCAGCTCACTCCTAGATTTTTCTTTTCAAATTCATCTTCAAAATATTCCGTCTCAGATACAGATTTCTTGAGTTCTTAAATAGCTGTTTCCCAAAACATGTCTTGAACAATTGTAATTGGGTGGAAAAATATATCACATATTGAAAAAGAACTTGAACATTCTGCTAGATAGCATTATGCTATCTAAAACTGTATTTATGTAGACTACTTTAGTATATTCACGTAGATATTTCACATAGCCTATAGAATAGATCTTCCTAGTTTTAATGCTTACTATAGTAAATAACAGTATAACAGTATACTGTGAAGGGCACACAACATAATAGTAACACAAGTGCCCTCTTCAGTGTCTGAACATAACTTGGAGAGCTCCATTTTCAGTTACAAAATTATTTCACTCTTGACTAAAATTTCTGAAGCAATACAGTCTCATTCTATGAGCTGGCCGCAGTGCAGCTCTAAAGAAGGTGCACTTCAGCAAAAATATTTTGAAGCGATGTATGCTTGGTATTAACAGGAATTAGACCCACTTTACTCATGAGGTATGTATTGTAGACTGCACTGCAAGGTCTGATCATCAGATTTTCCCCTCCTCCCCACTTACTTAGTAAGTATCTGTGATGAATTTCGGGTTGTTATTTAGGTCTTTTTTAAACAAAGACATGCGTCAAGCTAAAGTAGTAAATTTAGATCAAAAGACTCTATAAATCATGTAGGAAAGTCTATGAAATTTCCTAGTCCTCTCTTCTCCCCTTCCCATCCACCTCAATAATCTCGATTCTCGCCTGAAACTCCCGCTTGCTCATGTGGCACTACTTCTAGACTTAATTCTTTATTGCAAGTCAGCTAGAGAAGTGATAACTCACATTCCTTTCATATAGCAAGGTTTGAAAAGTGCATTGGAAAAACATCTTTAATTTGGCAGAAAAAAAAATCTATATTGTAAAATTTCACACACATTTTTAAAACATACCAAAGATCTCTCAATTGCAGTGGACATTTTTTGTTTGTTTGTTTGTTTTCTGATTTAACTTCTGCTAATTAGTTAGGTATTCTGTAAAGAGATTAATTTTGTTTTGAACCGGTTAAATCTTTTCAAATAGTTCAACAGACTAATAGTGGCATCTGGAAGAGACAAGAGATAAGTCCAAAATAAACAGTGAAGAAACAATTTCAAGCTCCTGAACAAAATTTTCTTCTTACTCTCAAAATGATATGCATTTTTGAGGCATGCTGTCAGAAACCTGAGAATGCATGATGATTTAATAAAAGGCTAAATTGCTGCAATTTAGAAAACTATGTGTATATTGGAGTATGGAAAAATGAGCAAGAGGGAATTTCCTTCAAGTAATGCTATTAATGATGCCAGTTTCTTGTTTCTTCCTTGCTGCTCTGTATTTTATTTCTCTTCCCTATAAATAAATAAATAAATAATTACCAGAATGCATAAATCTTGCTTACGATACGTATTTCTTAGGAAAGTGCCTAAAAAAGAAGCATTAGGTTGTAGCACAGTTTAATGGTCTGCTAAGTAAACACAATATCAACACTCATTTTGATGTTGCTGATACTAAGTAAAATGCAATGTCCATATACTGTAATATGTATATATACATTTGCATATCCAGGAAAAGAAATGACAGCCACTTTCCAGTTCCTAGGTAGAGTGCAAGCCTAACGTGCACAGCAGTGAAACGCTTGCCAGTTATAAACTGGAATTTACTCTTTGGCTTTAGACTGGAGATTTTTGAATCACCAGCTCAAGTTTAGGAAAACTAATTTCTGTACTCAACAACAAGAAGAATTTACTGATAATCAAAACTAAACAAAATGACTACTCCAACTACTTGGAAAAAAATATGGAAAAGTAGTAATATTTCTTTTGAGTATTTCACAAATGTGTTTTAGGGGACTTTTGGCTTGAAAGCCTTTTTTTTTTTCCTTTCTTTTTTTTTTCTTTTTCTTTTCTTATTTTCTTTCCTAAAGGGAGTTTACAAGCTAAATAACTCCTGAAGAAGGTAAGTTATTGGATCATTAAAATTTGGGTCAAATCATGCTCAGTTTGGTCGAACCAAAGGTCTCAATTTGTTTATCCATTTCTGTAACACTCTAACATCCTTGAGAATCACCCAAATACTCACTTATCTCACTTTTTCAGTGCAGGCCTCAGTCAGAAATCAATCATTATTGATTTTGAATTGGTTATTATGTGCCCATTTTCTGTACAACTTTGTTCCATCTTCATCCCAGCCTTTAGACTTTAGCTTCTTATCTCTCAGGTGTGTCACATGCTAGTCTCCAAAACTCCAGGGGCTTAACACATCCATAGCTTCATATCCAGCCTCATTAGACAGATTGCTCTGGAGCAGGGACTCTGTGCCTTTTCTCAGAGAATTTTGAAATGACTGCCATTTATTCTGAACTGGGGAGGAGTGCTGTGTTAACCACAGGCATCTTGCTTGGAATCCAGGACTGGGAATTTATCCAGTAGACCTGAATCACTGTCCTCATTTACACCTGTGAATTTATATTCTATTAATTTTCATCAGTGCTTTTGCTTGCACCTGTGCAATGCATATGAAATGCTACCTTTCTGGTTTGGTAGTGCTTTATGTTTTCATCCTGTATATCTACCTGGGAGGTAAGACAGTGGGGAAGCGAACTCAGTATACGTTTAATAAACAAGTTGCCCTAATTTCAGCTCTCTCTAATTATTGGCTTAAAGTTGGACAAATGAAAAGGACTTCAAACAACTTGCTGCTACCAAAATGACTGTCATGCATTATTGCTAAAAGACAGAACAAAAATTGCAAAGCACTAACTAATGGACATTTTAATTTTCAGATTAACAGAGCAAAACTTCCTTCCTGGAAAATGACTCTGCTAAATGCCTGCAATCTTATCAACAACCTAAATAACCAAGTGGGGGAAACAGCAGAGGTAGATGAAGAAGATCTCCTTTCAGGAGGACAGTTTCCTGCTGCTCTGGATGGCTTCAGCTTGGAAGCAATGCTAACAGTATACCAACTCCAAAAAGTTTGCCACAGCAGAGCCTTTCAGCATTGGGAGGTAAAACAAATGCTCATATTTTTTTTTTTCAATCGCTATTACACTTTTAGCCTTTCATTATCTATCTACAGATCTTTTAAAATCCATTTCCTATATTATTTTTTTTCCAAACCTCAAGTGTTCTTGGCTTAAATCACCTCTTCCTTGTATTATCAAGATTTTTTCCCCTTATTTTCTTGTTGATAATCTCTACTATCTCTTATGTCTTATATTATTTTGTCTATGCATTTGTCTTTGTCTATGTGTATTATATCTGTCCAGCTTTTGAAGAGCTAAGTGTCTCTTTCAGATGAGAACCAACAGATAGATGTGAAATATTATTAACTAATCCTCCTTATCACTGCTGGGAAACCCACAGCATGGGATCTCCTGCTCTTTTATTCCACTGTCCCTTAAGAGGATCTTGGAAATTGACACTGTGTGTGTGTATGAGATCCCTGGTCCTAAACAGTGTTTTATAGTCCATCTGTGGATTATATAAGCTATATTTAACTGTCATGATTGCACATGGGCCATGATATTTGCAGTTGCATATTGCATTAGGGTAGGTTGCATATTCCTTTGGGTAGGAAAAAACAGATATGCCACTACTTACTTTCCAGCAAACACAGTTTCTTCTGCTCTACCAGGTTCATGGACAGTGTACTTTTATTTGCTGGACCACAGCTCTGTATTTGAAGGCTTCTTTCTCAATACTTTGTAACTGCTAAGATTGCCTGTACTAAAGTCTGCAGCAACAAATTCTTTTGAGAGTGAGAGTTTTGTGCTGAAAAGGAGATGCCATAGTCCTGACTAGATATGATAGTACTTCTGTCTTAACCATAGTTCCTTATTTTGCAGTTCCATCAGTTTTTGTGAAGGCTGGGAATCACTTTCAGTATTAGTATGCAGTAGCATGTGAAATTTAAAAAATAATGATATTCCTCTCTCAGCTTGAGTAAGGTTATGAAGTACAAAGATTTATACAACAGGAGAAGGGTAAGAGGTAGAAGGAGAGCGATTGAAGAAGGCTTGAAATAATATGTGTAATGATGGTAGTTCTTGTGATCTTAACAGAATTGACTCCAATTCTGTTGAGACAATGAATCTTTCCATTAATTTCCATGAAAAGTTGATATGGTTATTCATTCATTGAGTAATTAAGTGAATAGAAGAGTTCATTGTTTAGGGAAACAGTGAGGTGAGTATAAAAAAAAATAGTTTGATGCCTTTAGTAGAATTGTATTTGACCATGGATGAATACAGTAATACAATGATGTACGCTTAATATGTAAACCAAGAACCAATCTCAACAAAACACTTTAAGAATTTCAAGTAAATGCCCTCAAAAAACAAGTATATAGTATGTTGATTGACACAACTTTCTTACCCTTTTTTAAAATTTTATTTTACATGTTATTGAATTTTTAGTTGCAGGAAGTAGCAGATAATAACTACTGGTTGAAAGCTGAAGCTTAAAGTGATTTAGAATTTTTCTTAAGATAAATTCAAGTTTATAAAATGACAGTTATTAGGAAGCTTTCACAAAAGTTTGTGTTCTTGTCCAAGAAGGGCATACAAGCTTCTCTCTGTATTGAAAACCTGCACTCTCATTGGTAACAATGGAATTTAAATATCATCTCCACAGGACTCAGCTCATCTTCAGGCTGATATAAATTTTGTATTGTTCATTTGTTTGTTTTTCTTTTTTGTTGTTGTTGTTGAAACTATTGTGGTAAAGATTTTTCCTTATGGGAATTGCTAAGACCTATTTTATATATTTTATAAAGCTCTGTAGGAAGTGTTGATTATCATTACCAAAAAAAAAAAAAAAAAAAAAAAGCCTCAAAAACTCAAGTACCAGATACCATGATGTCTCTTCTTGCATTCCACAGTTACTTCAGCAAGATGCTTTCGATCTAGAAAATTCAAGCCAAGATAAGGAAATAATGAAGAGAAAAAATCCCTATATTCTGAAACGACAACTACATGTGAACAAAGCTAGAAGACCTTACATACTCAAGAGAAGTTCATATTACTGATGCAGCAGAAGAAAATTATGTATATTTAGTTTATAGGTAACTGTGCATTATGGTTATCTTATTTAAAAATTATACTTGTGTGGAAATATACTATGGAAAATCATCAAGATGATAACATAACTGTGTCTTTTTTGCAACTGTTGTTTCTTGAATGTGATTTTTTCCTACTTGAGATTAATTGGACCAATACATTTGCAAATAAATCTAGTTTCTAAGCATGATGTATTGTACACAACTGAGATTTCAATATATTTGTTACAATATAGTGCTCTTCTTTTGTTTTATGAAGCACCTACATACACCGACTAAATTGTTACTGTCCATAAACTGTGTGAAAAATCTCACAGTTTCTTAATGAAACACCTAAACCCTCTGCATGCATGTGAGTTTTTGTGTACACTGGTCAGAAATAGCCTAATTTTCTCTATACTGGCCCCTTCAAATTATTAGCAATTGGGTCTAAGTAAGGAGGAAATACTATCAACTGTCTGTTAACTATTATCTGGCAATTTCAAATTTCATGATGTAGATGAATTTAACTTCTTGACTCCTACTACTCAAGGGTCATAATTTAAGAAAACTGTGCACTAATAGGACTTAAAAAAATATGCTAGCATGAACAAAGCCTGATGTCCCTCCAAATCCTGTCTATCGCTCACTAAGTGAGGAAAACAGTTTATTCAGTCAGGAAATTTATGATGTTTATTTAATTCATGTATACTCAAAGAAGTAACTTTTTAAAGATGAAAAAAAAAAAGTAAAAGCTGATTCATACTCATCACAGTAAAAGTCACAACACATTCCTAGTATGAGAAATAGAAACAGTCTGGAAAAAATATTCAGAAGAGGATCTAATGCTAAAACAGTTGAAACTTGTTATTGAAAGGCATTTTCCTTCTCTCCCTTTAACAAAATTGAGTAACAACAGGCAGTTTCAGATGCTAAAGATAATATTGCAAGTCCATTCAAATGTGAAGATCCCAGCATGGAAATAAAAGTGTACAGGTCATCTGAGACTTGAACATTTTCCATCTCCCTGGCTCTGATCCCTGCCTCAGACTTGGACTCACATGACTCCAGGCTCTTTTCTGGAAGGAGGCAGTCTGAAAGAAATGGAGGACACTAAAACTGTCAGAGTAAGTGGTTAGTCCATGATCCAAGTGGCAAGAAAGGGGATCAGATAGGCTGCTTTTGAAACCCTGATTATTTTCTGTTGAGTTATTTCCTAGTGCATTTCTGCTCTAACAAACTGCTAAAAAATCCAAATCCTCTCATAGGTGAGATTTTCAGTCAGTTAATATTAATCATGTGTAGGAATACACATATAAACAGCATGCCCAGTGGTTGTACTAACTTTGCTGCACAAGAGGGATAGTTTTATGCCGTAGAATGTATTTTCATTTCATTAAAGCTAATCCTACTTCCCTTCCTCACTGCAAATGTTATTAATCAGTTTGTTCGTTAAATAGCCACTAAATAACTGCATTCACAAAATGTAACTAAGCATACACTAATTACTATAATAATCATTATGATTCAAAAAGAACAAAGTACTTAGGAACATAAGACATCAATGGCTTAAATAGTCAATTTGCTTAAGCTTAATTAAGATTCTAGTAGATTCATAGTCCTTAAAATTTTTAGTGAAAGTGTCATAGAATTAGACTGGAGACACAGTAGGCTCTCAAGTATCTAAGAAACACTCCCCAAAATCAGCAAGCTTCATAGTCCTGTTACAGGCACTTTGAATTCTATATTACTTGTTGATGTGAAATTATAAAGCAGAAAGAGTTTGTTCAAAAAATCACTGTAGTTATGCTGAAAAAAAAATAGGAATCATCTCACTATTTACTAGGCAACACACACACACACACACACACACAAAAATGCTGCCATGATCTATTCTTCTTCATGCGCAGTTTGAGTATAGTAATTAAAAGAATGTAGGATAAGAATGGGAGTATCATCCGAGAAATAATGCTAAAACTGAAGAAGAAAGAAACAGACGTTCACGATTTATTTTTCAGAATTTTTAAATATTTAGGACTTAAGGATCTCAAGTGTTGTTCTCTACATACTCCACTGATCTCTAATGCCCCACATTATAATTCAAAATTATCCTGAAAGTGCCTGTATGCTAATTCCTTGCAACATAAATATGAAATAGTCAGTGAAAATATAATGGCTTGTGATGACATTTCAAGTTAAAATGCAATCATTGGTGAAAAGCAAAACAGCACATGAATGTTGGAGAATACACAAAAAACATACTATTAACACAGATAGGCAATATTGGGAAGTAGTGTTTTGTTGTCTGAGGAACCTTCATTGACTTGAAATCTCCTTTCACTTCAAGATATTGCCACCTCCTGTTGAACACATTGCTGTCAATTGCAGCCATTCTTCAGCTCTTATTTTGGATAATAGCTGCAAAAAAATAGGCAGGCTTATACATATTTGCCCCAATTTAGCATATTCTTTCCATGGGATCCTTAGGGTATGTGTCTTGGCTTGCTTGTAAAAATCAATATTGTATTATTGTATCTGCAACAGCTATGGGTGCTGAATGAACTACAGGTCAGAGAAAGCACGCATAATATATTGTAAATTGTAAATACACATAGCTTTTTCTCTCTCTCTCTTTTTTTTTTTCCTAGCTTTTTTTTCTCCTCGAGTTTATAATTATCCTAAATTTGAAAATGTTTTTTTGAGGACCATTAACTCAAATTGTCACCTTGGCTTCTGGAAGCATCACTTGAAATGGAGAATTTTGTTTAAAAAAATCAATTACTGAGAGATTTAATTCCTTTCTCTGACTCCATAGAGGAACCTATTTCTTCTGCATAGTCCATTGCTGATCTTCATATGAAGATGACATAATGAAGGTGAATAGTGAATAATTATACCAATTATTCACATAAATTCTTCCTTATTCACTCAAATACTGAATATTGTCATCTGGTGAATCTACATGAACTTCAAAGCTATTTCTAATGTAGAAATAAAACTAAAAGAGATTTAAATTGATTTGATATGATATTTTCTTGAATATTTATACCCTACAGTTTCCTAAAGCCCATACTCACGAAAATAAAAGCGTGGAAAAGTGAATACTTTTGTAACTTCTAAAGAATGTTTATTAGATGTTCTTTAAAATGAAATAGATTAAAAAATTGTATTTATTGTCAAATTTCAGTATGTCATGATAAAATAAGTTGTGTCAGCTTTCCTGAGTCTTGGTTTTGCCATACTCTAGCATTTGCTGCTTTCAGTCTTTTGTAATATGAGTCTATGTTGTAGGTTGCTGGGTAGAGTTTATGACTGTGGTATAAACAGAATGGTTAGATTGTGGAGTTTGTCATCAGATTAAGAGATATATGCAATTAATTTTGCAATCTATGATTGTTGCTGTGGCTCATACTTTCACTTACCTAACCCACAGCTGAGTCATTGTAACTCTGCTCTCCCAAGTTTAGTTTTCAGTTTGCACCATACTGTATCAAATTGAAGACACAAGCCACCACTGTTGTACTTCTATGTAATAGGAGAGAGGCAGGAGTAGGTCCTTGCGAAGTTTTCCAAGGTTCCAGACTAATAAGTGATCTGCTCATCCAAAACATTGGACTGAACTGAATTAAAAGCAGTCATGTGAGAGGTGAATGTTGAGCCAGAGATTCTAACTTTCTCTGTGCTGCAAGCAAAGGAAGTGAAGGGAGGGTTTGCCCTCCATAAAGAATCTGAGCAAGGATATTTTCCTTATTACCAAATTCAAGCATTCAAAAGCTATTACTGAGGCTGCAAAACATGTTTCATATTTTCACATTTAGATTCACATTTTCAAAGACTTTCACCACTAAGAAGAGCTGAAAACATGATGTTTTGTTTGTTTAAGTATTAATATTGAAAGTTGATGTTGTCATACAATGCCTTGAATATAGGACCTGACATTTTAAGGTTTTACCAACTTTGGCTCACCACAATTAATGACTACTCTGAAAAAGAGATATGGAAAATGGGACTAAAATCTTGACACTGCTATTGTGGCTTTTTAAAATGAATTCTTATCACAAAATCCAAACTGCTTAACTGTTTTTTGCAATCTTAAAATTTAGATTTTTATATATATATTTTTTCTCTCTTTCTCAGAAATATTTAATTCAGGTCTAAAATAAATGTGTAAAAAAAAAAAAAAAAAAAAAAAAAAAAAAAAGGAAAAAAGAAAAAAAAAAAGAAAAGAGTTTGGGTATGTCAAGCATCATTTTTAAAGAAAGTTGTCTGTGGCGCAATGTGACTTGGAAATCTGGACTGAGTGACATAGTGTGTCAAAAACTGTTTCAAAAACCATAATGTATTTATGAAGTTAAAAATATGTATTTCTTATGATTTTTTTTAAAAAAATACAAGAAAATTAAAATAAAATTCTTATTTTATAGCAGGTAGGCAAAAGTTCTGAGAAATATTTTATTTAATAGTTCTTCCACAAGTGGAAATTCCCTTGTGTGTGTATTAACAAATCCCTAGAGTAGTCGTATAAGTGATATATGAGTAGTTGTTGTATTTTAGTATCTTGTTTTCTGATCTTTTAAATAAAAAGCTGTTTGGAACCAGCAATGAGGCTTTTGATCTGTTCAAAAAGTAGGAACTAAATAACAGAACAAGTGGAATACAGATGTGCACCTACATGCTCTAAAAGATTACATTTATTCAAATTATTCTGAATTTTGCAGTAAATGTGACTGTAGAGTATAATGATTCCATAGTGTTCTCAGAATTTAACAGTAATGGCACAGATTTGTAATTGGTTGTTTTTAATATACTGAAGACACCGAGCCAACAAGATTACAGCTATTTTTGAAGATGAAATCCTTGGTGAATACTTAACTGCCATTTTCTTTGAAACTTTCCTATTACTCAAAGTAGTTTTGCGGTAGTATGGAGTTAAAATTTAATACTCCAAGAACTTGCCTGTGGAGAATAGGGGAGTTATAAACATTACTTCATTACCAAATATCACCCATACTCCCACCTCACCTTTTCGATTTTACAACTTCTTGTGTTACAGAGTTGAATGTTGGGGAGTTGGGAATATAACAGGATATTAAGGAAATAAGAAATTTAATGAGAAAATGTGGTAGATGTTAATGCAGTATTCCTTCTGTTTGACTCCATGACTCCGGCTATGCTTTTCTACTAGCCATTTTTGGCCTTTTCCCTCCCCCCCACTTTTTCTTAGGCTATACTCTAACCCAGAATCAAAGCCATAAGGAATTTAAGACCTAGAGAGAAGAAAGGGAGACTCACTGGAGATTAGAAGAGAATGGAAAATATTCAGAGAAATTTGCAAGATAGTGCAAGGTCATCTAATAGTAAGGTAGGTAGGACTAGTGTTAGTCAAGAACCAAAGAAAAAACATGGACTATAAAGTAGAAGATACAGGAGAGGCCAAAAAAGTAGAGTTTCCAGAGATGATAAAGAGGGAAACCATCCAACCTCAGTTCTCAACATTTTTCTTGAATCCAGAAAGACAACTTGAATATGAGAAGTTTCGTATGGAGAACTTTTAAGCTGGGAGTGCATCAGCTGAAGGAAGCTGCTTAGGAAGGGCAGGAGTGCATGGGCAGCAGTGAAATAAACAGAATTCAGGTCAGTGTTGAAGTAAGTTCTGCAGAACTGGGGATAATCAGTGTAGCATACCACAGATATATAGGTCACCGTAATAGTTTGGGGTTGTCAACAAGCTAGAGAGTATTTTTGCTAAATGCTTGTGTAGAATTTAGGGTAATCAAATGTCCAGAAACTGTTCAAAATCACCAGTTCAAACAAACAACTCTTACATAATAAAAATTAGACTCAGTTGTTCTATGTATACAGATAAACTAGCTTAAAAAGAGTAGATTCAGTCTTTCATAATATTAAATATTATTTCTGCGATACGGATAAGAAGATCAATCTTGTATTTCCTTTATCAAGGCTTTACTCTAACAGGTCTCCAGTTTGTTTCTCTGGTTCGAGCACAAAATTTTTCTAATTTGTGAGAACACAATATTGAATGAATGTGTGTGATTTCAAGAAACCACAAATCTTCCAAGTTCACATTTGAATGATTTTTGCATGCTCAGCATTCTAGACAGCATTTCTTTTCAGAGAGGAAAATAAATATAAAATGTCTGTTGAAAAGACAGTTTGCCTATAAATTGAAATGATCCAGAATTGCTGATATTAAACTTCAAACAACTTCACTGAAACCCCTCACAGTTATGAACCCTACAGGCTCATGTCATTTCGGAAAAAAAAACAAAAACAAAAATATCCTATGAAAAACATCTGAATCTTTACAGAACTTCACTATAAGATGAAGGAGCCATGCCTGCAACTGCAATTTAATTAGATTCCTCATTAAAGACATTCACTAAGGTTAAATACATGGAAATCTAAAGCTCATTAAAGCAGTAGAGTTCTGTATGACACAGTTAGAAAGATTTTGGAAATCAGGGAAATGGTAAAATAGATGGCTAGTATTACTTTGTATAATATATAGAAACATACATACATATATATATATGAAGAGATACTCCCCATGAAGTCCTCTGTCATTTCTCTACTGAGCTCTATTTTGTAACAAAATGATCTTTTCAAGGAGGTCCTTTGATTTACTAGCAAAAGATAAGCACTTATGCTTGATTCATAATATGAAAAATGCTGTCCAAAATAATGATCCAAAGCATATTTTATTTAAAATTGGTGTGAGCTACATAGTTGTGTAATCCACCTGATGATCAGCATTCACTAACATTCACTTCCATGTTCTGTATAGCTTGGACCAGAATCAAACATAAAATCTGGACTGGGAGAAAAGGAAAGGATGTTCTTCTGATACTGCTTGATAGAGAAACCTAACTCTAAAGACATCAGAAGCCATAAAAAACAAACAAACAAACAAAAAACAGATATGGCGATAGGAGGGCAGCCTTCTCAAAGCTGAAAATGATGAATGAATAAAATAGCACAGGTGACCCAATCTGAAAAGGGAGCAAGTAGTTACCATTAAAGATAGATAAAGAAGAAAAAATGGGAGAGAGATTTGTATGTTACCTGCATATTTTCAGTAAATCAGAAAGTAAGCTTCATTAAAAATATCTTGCCATGCTTGAAAGCTGCTTCCTTTCTAACACTGATGAGCTTATATCTATCCTCTCCCAATAACAAGAGATAGCAGGTCCTTACCTGTCTTACTTTTCTTCTGGCACTGCAGAAATCAACCCAAATCTTTAGCAGGAGTGCTGAGAGGTGATAGCTCTTGCTTATAGGTCAATCTTCCTACGGAATCAGTCAGTAGCAGAAAGTGGAAACATATGAGCCAAAGTCTGATCTCACTTACTGAAAATGCTGAACTGATATCCTAAGCATGGGTCTCGCACTGTACTCCACTGTGTTGGATGGTAAATGAATCTTTCCTGGAGCCCAAATGATTCATGGAAGTTTCTCTCTACAGTCAGCATCAAGTGAGAAATGTGAACTAGCAAAAGAAATAGTTTCTTTAAACAAAGGTGAAAAAGAATAAAATAAGTTTAAATAATGACCTTCCTTCCATGTCCTGGCACCACAGAAAATATTTTGCAAATCTCATAAGGAATAATTGTTGAGGGTATGTTTGAGAGAGCAATCAGAATTAAGGAAATATTTCTGGAAATCAAAAGAGAAGTAATGTTTCTGGTTAAAAATGAGTAAGGCTAAAATTTTACTAGTATACTGAATTCAAAAATAAAGCTTCTTAAATTTCCAGGGAAAACTGTAGC